ATGTTATCTCAGCAAGAAGATTAACAGACATAAATGGAAAGGAAAAAAGAATTATCACAGAAACAAACAGCAACAAATTCTTTATAAAAAAAACTTCAATGGGGGAAGCAGATTATAAAATCCCCAAATAATCTAGCAAAGTTTTATATTTTTTTCAGGTTGACAACTTTTGAACTTAAAGAATTGATTTCTCTGGAGGAGAGAAAAGAAAATGAAACATTTGGTCTGAATGGTTGCACTTGAAAAGATCTCTAATGAGGTAAGAACATTTCCTTAAATATTTGAAGCATTAAACATTTTCTCTATAATAACTAAAAAGAAAAACAAAATGAACATTTAGTTTGGGCCCAAGAGACAAAATTTGTTTTCTCATCAACAAGAATCATTTTTTTTTTCAAACTATGAATCATTTTTTTGTGAATTTCCTTCAAACATTTTTACAAAAGAGCATAGAAATTAATTTATTCCTTTAAACAGAAATAATAATAAAATAGATAGATGGATAGATAGATAGATATGAACAGACTGAGAGAGATAGACAGATAGATAGATAGATCGACAGATAGATAGAGTCAATGATGAAATTATTCATACACCCATCCATTTTGAATATTTTTATCTATTTCTCAGAATCTAATGCTTGAATAATGTCAGGTTATTTCTATGTTAATAAACACAAAAAAGGAATATAAGACCCAATTTCCAGAACAATGGGTTAAATACAACAAATTTGACAGGCAAATTATGTAAAATAGGAAAAGACAAAATTATTCATACAGTACAAAAAATAGAAAAATTAAACAATTTTCACAATATTAATAGTTAATATTATGGCCTCTCATCTTTATAACTTGCTGCAATCATTTTCTAAAGTTTTTGATGAGATTTGAACAAATTTTTCTGAGAATTTCTTCCATTCTTCAATGTTTAATCATTCTAAGTCCTGAAGTTTTTTGGTTACCGATGATTTGTTCAAACTTTCAATTCTTGCCATAAATTTTCAATAGGATTCAAGTCAATACTCATTGAAGGCCATGGCAGAACTGTAATCTTCTTTTTCTAAAGCCACACAGTCACTGATTTAGATGTATGTTTGGAATCATTATCTTGCTGGAAAGTAAATTGCTGACCTAGATGAAGATTTTACACTGATATTTGTAGATTTTCATATCAAAATATAGTGAAAAGATAGTGAGATAGATAGATATGAACTGATTGTGATAGATCTGAAAAGATTGTGATAGATAGATCTGAAGCGACTGTGATAGATAGATAGATTTGAGCAGACAGTGTCTGGATGGCACATATTTTCTATGAAATTTCTCGGACATTCAGACCGGTAAATGTAGTTAATACTGTTTATTATAAACAGCACATTTACTTAAATATTTGTATAATGTATAAACAGAAAATATATTAAAATAATTGTTGGACTTAGTCCATTTCATAATATATATATATATATGTGTGTGTGTGTGTGTGCTATATATATATATATATATATATATATATATATATATATATATATATATATATATATATATATATATAAGCCATATGGGATCAAGAAAGAAGGAACTTCATGCACCAGAAATACCAACAATTAATAAAACTAAAAAATGGCAAAACCACTGTAGAAACAAAAGAAAGATAATACAAAAAAAAATAAAAAATAAAAAACAGTGGTAGAGGTAGTTAAGCAAAACAGCAGTTGCAGCAGAAGTGAGAAGAAGAACATTAAATTTAAGGCTCCAAGTACTAGCTTTATAACTGTCCCAATTGTAACATTGTGGATGTAAAATAAAGGAGACTAATTTAAGGAGAAAAAAATCTCCTAACTAATAACCATCCATATAGATTGTATGAAATATATCATATTTCTGAAAGACAATATATTTGACAGGGTTAGTTGACTGTCACAAGTCCCACAAGAAAAATAGAAAAGAACCAGGAGTTGGTGGGGGTTTTTTCATTTGTATGTGAATTGACTAATCAGCAATTAATGACATTTCCTAGTTAAAAAAAGGAGTTCCTCCCTTCAAGCTTCTTCAGTGACACTTTTGGCTTGGTAGTGAGCAGATTGGGGTAAAGAAGTACTCTCACTCATTTCAATGTACACTCTCCATCACTGAGAGGTAGTTGGCAACATTTCCCTGCTGGAAACAATAAACTTGGCCCATGCAGATCCTATTGTATTATGTCATTTATTATTACAAGAAAACCTTTCATATGGTGAAAAGATGGCTTTTGATTTTCAGTGAGAACTCAAAGCAGGTACTGGATTGAAGATAGTCAATGCAACTCTCTGTGAAACAACAACCCTAGTTCAGCAAACACCAGTTTGAGCCATAGAGGATGTTGAGATAATGCAACACATGGAATAATACAACACAAAATGATTAACAAAATGTATGGAAACAAAGTGAATTTGTTTGGTGATATAATAATTGGTGAGTTCATATTTATATGGTCGGTAGTCCCTGAGGTAGTTAGTGAATTTGGTGGATATAATATGACCACATTCACATTCAGTGAAAATGGGAGGAGGAATAACTGAACCAAGATGAGATATTCTTAGATATGAACAGAAGAATGAGAACAAACTGTCCCCATAGACTGAATAAAGGGTTCAACTTGAAATTCCCTGAAGGTTAACCAGGTTAATAAACACATGTAGAAGACCAGAGAGTGTAACAGTGAAAATGGTGTGATCATAACAACAAAAATGAAGATGTTAGTCAGACTGAAAATAATGTAAATAGTGAAAAGTTTTGTTCAAAATAGAGATAAAGTTTGCAGTTTGAATAATCTCAGATCTTCAGACATCTACAAAAGGTCAAAGGTTATATTGTTGCAAAACCTAATTATATGTAAATTTGAGGTTGAATAAAGAGGAGATGGCAAGAAATAAAGTAAAAGCAATGAAAAGGTTTGAATTGGAAGTAAAATTTCTTTTGACATTTTTAAATTGAAAATATATTTATTTTAGGGTGAATAGGATTAAGAAGAAAAGAAAAGTAAAGAAGTGATCAAAAAGAAGGAGAGAGAAAAGAAGGCAAAAAAAAAAAGAGAAAGAAAGTGGGAGATGGGAATAAGAGAAGGAGGAAAGGGTAGCATAACGAAGGAGGGAAAGTAGAAGTAGGAAGAAGAAAAGTAAAGAGAGAGGAAGGAATAAAAACAGACAGAAAGAAAGAATGAAATAAGGGAGAGATAGAAAGAGGAAGAAGGTAACTGGAAGGAAAGAAAGTTGAAAAAGGGAAGGAAGAATGCAAAAAGGGCACAAAAGGAGAGGGAGAGAGAAGAGGAAGGGCAAATATTGAAAGAATGCAGGAGAAAAAGAGAAGGAATATAAAGAAAGAAAGAAGTCAAAATAGAAAGAAGGAAGGAAGGAAGGAAGGAAGGAAGGAAGGAAGGAAGGAGAGTAAAAGATAAAGAAAAGAGAGGACCAGGAAAAGGTAGAGAGAATAGAAGAAGGAAGAAGATGAGACCAAAGAAATCTAATAAAAATATGAGGAAAAGGAAGAATGTTGATTAACTGATCTGTTTTTTTTTAAGGCTAATCAACTTTTCATGAGTCATATAAAGCAGGGGATTTCAAACTTTTTGACTTGGAGACCCCTTTATATTTCAGGCTTTACCTTAGGGAGCCCCTTATAAATGCTTATGAAATTCATAGATAAATATTTGCTGAATATAACATATATTTTGTATTAATGCAATAAAAGCTGGTTTAAAGCTTATTTTAGACATAAGTGTTCACACACCCAAAAGAAAGAAAGAAAGAAAGAAAGAAAGAAAGAAAGAAAGAAAGAAAGAAAGAAAGAAAGAAAAGATGGGTTGGTGTAAGATAAAAGAGAAATAAAAGGATATGGAAAAAAGGAAAAATGGGAGAAAAGAGAAATGAAAGAAAGAAGAAAGTAAAAGCAGAAGATAAAGCAAAAGAAAAAAGATAGAGACATAGAAATGAAAGAGTAGGGATAATAGGAGAAGGTACAGGAAAGAAAGAAGAAAGAAGTCTTCTGAATATGCATGTGTTTATGTATGTGTGTGTATAGTTTTATGACACTGTATAGGTATATGCATGTGGATCTGTAAAAAGAATTAACCAGAAATTATGAGAAGCTGCAAACACACACACACTCACAAATACCAAGTAACAATTTACAATTCAAGTTTATTTCATTTTTTGCAGCATTCTTGGCCAAATTCAAAATTGCCATATTTTCATGCCCTTTCAATTTCCTCTCACTAAACTATAGTTCTCTCCATTTGCCTTCCATTTCAGTTTTCACAAGTTCTTAAACATTAAATATCCTGATAGTAAAATTTTTTAGTAATGTGGGCACATAGCCGAGTGGTTAGAGTATTCACATTCTGACTATGAGACCCAGGTTCGAATCTCACCATGGTCAATTTTCAGGAAGGAAACTTCCTGATGTTATTGAGCTGGAGGGGTCAATCCCAGCATGTGGCACCTTTGCCTGAATTCCATACCACAGGTTGACCCAAACCTTGTGAGTGAAATTGCAAGTGTCTGCAACAGGGATTGACCAGCTATACAAATCTTTTATTCACATGCAGGATATTGTCCTCATTTTTGTTGCTGTTATCACAATATTTCGGCCATTATGCATTCTAACCAAGGGAATTAGATTGTTCTCTCTTCCACTGCTCATGTCTAGTTCTTATTTTTAGTATTACCCACCCTGTTTCCAACGAGTTCAAGTGGACACAGCCCAGCCAGAGATTGAACTCACAATTACTATATCACTAAATTCATGAACCAACACTTTAATACACTAGGCTACTGTCCCACATGACAATATCTGTATACTGAAATAAATAAAATAAAATCATTGTATGCAATTGGAGACATTTACAAAGTTTTAAATAAGAATTTGTCAACCTTATTTCATGTCATTATTTTCGTTGCCAATGAAACTTGTTCCGCAGCCAGAATTTTATTAGTTTATTCATATTTTATAAAATTTCATCTTGTCATGTATTTGCTTTCAGTCAATATTTTGTTAATAACAATTTTAGTGTCATAGACACTTATATATATATATATATATATATATATATATATATATATATATATATATATATATATATATTCTCAATAGGACTGAAGACTTTACTTAACTATCAACCCATGTAATTTTGAAAAGAAGTACATTTATTTATTTTTTTATTTTTTATCCATAACTGCTTATTTTATTTTACATATAGTTTTTATTTTACATTATAGTTTTTATTTCCATAAATGCAAATGTACAAAGAAAGAATGAAAATACCATAAAATAACTAAATGCACAAAAATCACTTTATTTAGCATAAATTAGAAATTTTTAGATAATATTGCAAAAATAATGAGTTAATTTGTTTATGCTAATTTATTACAGACAATGTAATTATATAAAACAATCAGAAAGCAATTTCAGCATTTTACAAAATGGTGTATCAACAAAGTCTGAAAATGCTTTACAAAAAGTTTGAGTTTCAGAGAAACAATAATTTTGATAATCTTTACAAAATCTATCGTGATTTTTGTTACATGTACAATTTGTTTCACAGATGAAGAAAATTCTTATTTTGTTATCATATTACCAGTACACATAGTTTTAAAAATTAAAATCAACTTACATTTACAAGAACACAGAATTAATTAACAAGATAATTTAGGGATTTAACTAATTAAATATATGTAAAAAGGTGGGGGGAAATTGAAAATAAAAAATATCTGGTATCCCTGTGATATCCATTGGAATTTTCTAATGTATTTATTTAAAATTTAAAAAAAAATTAAAAAAATGTTCATATTCTTGAAAATAAAAACTTCAGGGTATAATTGCTGCGTGTGTTGATGATTTCTGCTTTGTAGGAACAGAAATCTTTCAGACCAGAGTTATGGACAGAATCCATCATCTATTTGAAGTCAAATCTGAAGTTGACAAATTCCAATATATAAGATTAATCATAAAGAAAAATGGAGATAATATCAAACTAAGACAGAATGAATATGTAAAAAAAAAAAGTTAAAATATATCCCAGTTAAAGTAGGCAAAAATTTAAAAGACACTATATCCACAGCAGAAGTAACAGAGGCACAGATTGGTCAACTTAATTGGCTAGCCACGCAGACCAGGCCTGATCTAAGTTATGATATTAGTACATTAAATTCTCTATTAAAACAAAAAAAATATTGAATAAGACAAGCAAAGAGAGGAGTCAAGAAAGCAAAAATGGAAAAATCCCAGAAAGACATTCCAGATTTAGGAAACCTAGAACACTTAAAAATTATTGCATAGAGAAATGCCTCTTTTGCCAGTTTGTCCAATGGTGAATCACAAGGAGAGTATGTACTCTTTTTGGCAGGAAGTACTTTAAACAATTCATTTGTGCAGTTTGTTCAGTAATAAACATCTCTCTCTTTCTTTCTATATATATCCTGAAAACATAAAAATATATATATAGGTTGCACAAACCATGAGTTCAAAAAAAAGGTTCAACCAACATCAAAGTTCATTTAGGATAAATAAATATAAAAATCAAACATCACTCTCAAAGTACTTCTGGGACCTAAAAGAATCCAATAAAACACCTAGAGTAAAATGGAAGTTAATAAGAAAAGCTAGAATATGTAGGTCATTAAATGACCCATGTCCTTTGTGCATACATGAGAAACTATAAATTACTAAGTTTATAAAAAATAAAAATTTACTGAATCAGAGAAATGAAATAGCTATTTTGTGCTGTGATTGTCAAAAATTTTCCTTAAATAATATTTAAAAATAAAATTAAAAAGTGTGACCTGGTAATATACATACTTATATTTGATGTGAAAAAATAATTTTATATACTGTAAGTAATTCTATTACATTTACTTGTTCTATAAAAAAAACATAATCTATTAAAATTAACAGTGAAAATATTTTAAAATTGTTTTTAAAATTGTAGTTAAATAAAACGAATTCTAACCTAAACATTTTTTAAATTGTAGTTAAATAAAACATATTCTAACCTAAACACCTATCTCAAAGTACTTCAAGCACTTAAAAGAATCCAATAAAACACCTACAGTAAAAGGAAATTAATATGAAAAGGTAGAATATGTAGGCCATTAAATGACCCATGTCCTTTGTACATACATGAGAAACTATATATTACTAAGTTTATAAAAAATAAAAGTTTACTGAATCAGAGAAATGAATTAGCTATTTTTTGCCATCATTGTCATAAATTTTACTTAAATAATATTTAAATATAGAATTTTAAAAAATGTGACCTAGTAATATACATACTTATACTTGATATGAAAAAATAATTTTATATACTGTAAGTAATTCTAATATATTTACTTGTTTTAAAAAGAAATATAGTCTATTAAAAATTAAAAGTGAAAATATTTTAAAATTGTAGTTAAATAAAATGTATTCTAACCTAAACATCCCCCCAAAATCTTTAATTATACAAATAGAAAAAATGCTGTAAGAATTTTTTTTTTCTGTTAACAATAAAATTTAAAAAACCCAGATAACATGCATTTAATGGATGTCAGAATTCATTGAAAAATACATCCCTACCCTTACCTAAACGTAACCCTTTTTTCGAATGTAACTAATAACTGATACAACAAAAGTTAATGAAAATGAACATGCTACCACCCCTTGTCTGGATGAATGGATTTCTCTATATCCTTGGAAACGTGAATTATGAATTTTTGCCATGCCTTTAAAACTCAGTAAATTTAAAAATAAGTTACTTCAAAATTCGCTTGAGGATGAAATGGAACTAATGTTTTTAATTTAATTACAAAATTAAATTTGAAGCTTTTAGCTTCCATTTTTGAAACATGGTTAGAACTGTGTAGCGAAAAAAACCATATTTTAAATCAGTTAATTTATAATATTAATCCTCTGTAAATTTACATTGAGCACTATTTTGTAAAAATAAAAATATCTATAAGAACACCGGATTATATATCTTACTGTTCTTTCTTTTTATTTATATATAATAGAGAGAGAAAGAGAGAGAGAGAGAGATGTTTATTACTGGACAAAGAGGCTTCTTGCTTCCCAGTTTTTGATTTTCAAAAATATAAATACAATGTCAATCGTTATCTTCTTAATTCTTATTCTTTTATTGTTATCTCTCCTTAATAATAGTTTTTCTCATATTCTCTCACACTCAGTAACCTCTTATGTTTTAGGGGCTTTATTGCCTTTCTTGGGGGTGACATGATTTATATATATATATATATATATATATACATATATAAATGGAATAAATCCAAAAGATGCAGGAACAACCTACCTAGGTTTCACCTAAACGGATCATCAGGGTTAGCTGGCTAAAGAGGAAATGACATGAAAAAGTATTTATTGATAAAACCACTAAAAACTAATTAGCATAAAACCTTGTGATAGAAGAAGATAAAGAGAAAAAAAATGTGTGTGTGTGTGTATGTGTGTGTGTGTGTGCATGCTGATCAATTTCAACATTTCTTTTCACTTTTAACTTCAGAATTTTACACACACACTTGTGCACATGCATGTGCACTCATTCAGTGGATGGATTGGTGGGTGGATCTGAATCTCATTTCATATTTTATACTTGTTCATTTTATTAATCTAATTTCCCCTTTATATTTCTTTTAAGTTCCATTTTTTCATTCTCTTTTCCGCTCTAATTTCTCATTCTCCCTCTCCCTCTCTCTCTTTCTCCCTCTCTCTCTTTCTCCCTCTCCCTCCTTTTCCCTCTCTTTCTCTTTCACTCTCTAATTTCTCCTTCTCCCTCTCTCTCTTCCTCCCTCTCCCTTTCTCTCTCTCTTTCTCCCTCTCTATTCCTCCCTCTCCTTCCCTCTCTCTTTCTCCCTCTCCCTCCCTTTCTCTTGTACTCTTTAATTTCTCATTCTCCTTCTCCCTCTCTTCCTCCCTCTCCCTTTCTCTCTCTATTTCTCCCTCTTCCTCCCTCTCTCTTTCTCTGTCTCCCTCTTCCTCTCTTCCTCCCTCTCCCTCTCTTTCTCTTGCACTCTCTAATTTCTCATTCTCTCTCTTCCTCCCTCTCCCTTTCTCCCTCTCTTTCTCCTGCCATCTCCCTCTCTCTTTCTCCCTCTTCATCCCTCTCCCTCTCCCTTCTTCCCTCTCCCTCTCTTTCTCTTGCAATCTTTAATTTCCATTTTATTTCCTTGAATTGCCTCTATAAAAATTCCTTGCCATGATAGTGCATACAAATCAGTTCCATTTTTAAATCTTTGACCTCAATATCTTCATGATGATATGCATTTTCATAAATTATGCCAAAAAGAAAGAACTTAGTAATATTTTTGCAACAAAAGGGAAAAAATCAAAAAAATCATGGCTGATCAATATTAATGCACAGAAACACGAAGATGATATTTTAAATATTTTAATGTCTATCTTGAGAATCATTTGACTTGAAGTATGAGATTAGCCAAAAAGTTTGTTCACTTATTAAGTAGAAAATTTACTTAATATACTGAGAATTATTTTCTGAAAGGATTTTTATTAATCCAACAGGTTTTTTATCACTTTAAGTGTTATTAGTGGATACTCATATTTCAGTAGATACTTTGTTTATATATTAAACTGTATATTTATTTATTTTCACCTTCTGGCCTGAATGTTAAGAAATCTTATTAAAGAAAATTTGCACTCTTCAATAGAAATTGAACTTGTGTCTCTTAGGGTCAGAAAAGCCACTGTTTAGCGGCTAAACAGTGGCTTAGTGGTAAGGTGCATCTGGCTAAACTTTAGACAGATGCACCTTACCACTAGACCATGAAGAGAGAGGCAAAGCCAATTTCATGCTTTCAAACAAATTTTTCTTTAATAAGATTTTTTGAACACTCAGGCTGGTATGTTAAATAAATATACTGTTTAATATATAAACAGAACGTCTACTCAAATTCGAGTATCCAATAGTAATAACGTTTAAAGTGAAATAAGCTTTTTGGCCAACCCAATATTTTGTGTTGCTAATAAAGAAAGAAATATACCATGAATGGAATCATTTTCTTTAGTATTTTCTTTTCCAGGTACTAATTATAAGAAAAAAAAAAAAGGAAAGCAGGAAGAAAGGACTAATTATATCAATTGTAAAAAAGCAGAACATATGGTTGTCAGCAAAAGAGACAGCCTAAGATGCAAACTGCAAATTGGGGATGTCAGGATCAAGCTAAGAAAAAAAATTAAATATCTGGGAAGTGTTTTAACAAAGAAAGGAAAATGCAACCAAAATCCAAAGGAAAATAGCGAAAGATGCCTTCCAAAAGTTAAGCAAAGTATTAAGAAACAGGAAAATTTTGTTAGAAAGAAAGAAAAAAAATTATGTAATATTGGTCCTCCTGCATGGCAGTGAATGCTGAACAATTTCCTCAGAGATGAAGAAGAGACTTGAGGCAATAGAAATGTGTTTTTATAGAAGGATGCTTAGAATACCATGGACTGAAGATGTGAGTAATTATGAAGTTTTAGTGATAATGGAAACAAAAAAGGACATTTATACTTAAAATCTGAAAAAGCAATGAAAATTCTAGGACACATAATAAGGAAAGTGAGCTTAGAGAATTTGACACTCACAGGACATATTGAAAGCAAGAGGAACAGACAAAAGCAGTAAATAACCTATGAGCTTGCATAATTGGTTTGTAGAACAGGGATTAGGAGAGATAGCAAAAAGACAAATCTTACTAAGAACCAACAAAGACATGAAGTTATGAAAAGCCAGGATTGCACAGATTCTGAACAGAATAAGAAATGCCCAACCAAGCATCTCAGTAGTGAGTTGTACGGATATCATTGTGAATAATTTCAAGAATTTGCTTTGGTGTGGTTGATATAAATGTCTGCAGAAGGCTGGCTAGAGCGTTATTCCAAGTGGTGATGATGGTTTCACAAAGATCATGCAGTGTTTGGAATTGACTTCCCTTGCCATCCACTCACAAACATTTTCAATGAGGTTCAGGTCGAGCAAACATGCTGGATGTTTCAAAAGAATCATATTTTTCAGCATGAAAATGTCCTTTGTCCTGTGGACATTATGGTTGCAGTGTTGTCCTACTGAATGATCTGGTCATTTCCATACAAGGGAGAGCCTTCAGCCAATAAGGTGCTTTCTCCAAAATTCCAATTTTTCAGGACTTCATTGAACTAAAGTTGTTATGTTGGCATAACTACACATACACACAAATTTTAGGATTTCTTTTTTTTTATATTTAGTTGAATTCATTTAGAGTCTTTTTCTTTTTCTTTCCATCACTTTTATAAGCATTTATTCCACATTGTGATATTAGAAGATCAGCCAGGAATGGAGAAACGTTGTAAGGTTCAAATTTACTGTAAATGACCTTGTGATCAAGGCACTCTCTAGACATTTATGTCATATTGAATTATTTTCTCCTTTGATAGAGCAGCATTTTTTTACATAAATTTTGATCCACAGTTAGAGAAAATCTGCTTTTAATCATAAAATAAAAAATGCCATAAAACTAAGACATAATTTAATTAGAAAAGCTTTTAATCTAATGTCTTAACAAAAAACATTTTTTTTCGATGAATAATGAATTTTAACAAGAATTTGCATTTTTTAAAAACTTTAATTATAATAATTTATAAAATTTTAAATCTTTTAAAATTCTGTATTAATTTGTAGCAGTTAGGTGATCATGTTAATAAGTAGAAACAATATTTACTAATTATAAAAGGAAAAGCTTACTACAATTCAGCAATCCCCAGTATTTTAAAAAGAAATTTGAATTCCTTTTTTGTGTATAAACGTGCCGATTTTTGTCAATATGGACGCCCGTACATGACATTTTTTTTTTTAAAAAAAATTCCAATCAATTTAAATTAGGTTTGAAATACATTAAAGTATTTTTCTTATTGGAAATATTAACCCATTAGTTTGAAAGTAAAACTAAAATAAAACCTTCAAGTTGTAAGATTTTTAAAATGTATTTTAAAAATCTTAGGTATCACTGTAGTGTTTGACAACTAAATAAATGTTAAATTTCTTTCAGAAAATGACTTCATTCTTTTACTTAATTTAGGTATTGAATTATCTGTAATTTTTAATTTTACCAATATATGTTGCAAATCATGTCCCGTATTAAATTTTATTTTAGCCTCGCTGACTGACAAAAAGTAAAACAATGCCAATGAATACGAAAAGGAGTCGTTATATATATATATATATATATATATATATATATATATATATATATATATATATATATATATAGTTTTGAACTGTGTAAAAATCGTTTGGTAAATTTTGGTTTCGTTTTCCGAGCGCTAATATCCTTAAAATTTTTACAAAATCGTCATAATTCCCAGCAAAAGTACATGCTGAACTCGAATTAACAATTAAATTTTGAAGAAACCTTATAATTTTGGAGTTATTGACAATAAAAAATCGGACTTCTTGTTGGTCATTCATCACCCATTACTTACTGCCATCATGTTTTTACTAATTTACAGCGTAGTACCTACGCAGGCGTAATCAGAAAAATTGGCCTATTTACTTTTTATTTTACAGACTTTCCTTGCAGAAAATCACTACGCACTACCGTAAAGAAATGTAATTTTTTTTTTTTTCCATTCAAAACGGAAAAAAGGTTCTGTTGTATTATTTAATTTGTTTTTGTTATAAATAAAACTACACTTACCAAAAAAAAAACGGTAAGGTTTCTTCATAATTTAATTGTTAATTCGAGTTCAGCTGTACATTTGCACGGAATTATGACGATTTTGGAAAAATTTTAAGGGATATTAGCAATCGGGAAACAAAATCAAAATTTACCAATCGTTTTAATTTCCTGAAAAGTAAATTTACTTTTATTTTCTTATGATTTATTAATTTAATCCGTAAAGTCACATATTTCAAGCGCCATTTTGAAATTCTTTAACTTGCGTTTCCTTTTGTTGGGTTTGCCGACTAAATACTTGCTTATGGAGTGTATCAATTCTTCAAGTAAGTTGTACATTCATTTTCTTTCTCTCTATAACCTGCAATAATCCGTACTATATTTAACACACTGATGTCTACAAATACCAACGTTGTAGTTACCAAATTCTGATCGGGGATTGAAAATTTGATTTCAAGATGAACACCTGAGTTAAATAACGATGGCGATTCTTTCTGTGGAATTGACAATAATGTTTTTCGAATAAAAGGCGGTTTTTTTTTCTTTGCTCCACAAAGATGAAAAAATGACATTACTTTGCGGTAAATAAGGATAAATTAAAAGAAAGACAGAACTAAACAGAATAAAATTAATTTTTTTTCAAGTAATTTTTCTGTTGCATATAAAACTTGTTTAATTTTTTTTTATAAAGGTTTGCTTTTCATTCGATTCTTGTCTTTTCGAATATTTTCTAGTCTTTGAGACATTTTGTCTTTTTCTTTCTTTCCTCATTCTCATTTTGCTTCACCGTCAGCATTTTTGTTTGTTTTTCAACTTTTTCTCTTTCTCTATTCCTTATTTTTTTCTTTTAACCTCTATCTCCTTTTCTTTTAATCTCTCCACTTTCTCTTTCATTTTTTTTATCCTATTTTTCCTTTTCCCTTCTTTATTCTCCTCTTTCCAATTTTTCTCTAATCTTTTTTTTTTTATCTTGTCTTTCGAAATTTGTCTGACTTCTTAATTCACAGATTTTTTTTTCTGGCACTAGACAGGTCCACTCATAAAAGTAGGAAAAAAAATTTGTAAATATACTTTTTTGCATTCTTTTTAGACTTTCTTCAAGCTGCAAAACTTGTCAGAATTGAAAAATATATTGGTTTATTTATTATTTTAGAATAGGGGTCTTGTTCATAATATCGCAACAGTGTCAAATCGATCTCGACTTTTACAGATATATCGAAAATAACTGTTAAAAACAGTTATTTTTCGATAACTCTGTAAAAGTCAGGGATCGATTTGATCGTTTTAACTTGTTTGAAACCGTGCTTATTTACATCATTGATAAAAAACACTTTTACTTATTAATTTACAAAAACAAAATGATTTCTTTAAATAAACAATAAAAAACTGATGGACATTTTTATGTAGGAACCTCCAAAAAAGAAAAAAAAAACAAAAGCGATTCCTAAGATTTAAAAAAATGCATTCTAAAAATGAAAAATATTTCTTGGCGCTTTATTATTTT